ACACACACACACACACACACACACACACACACACACACAGACCCCCACTCACACGCACACACACTCACTCACACACACACACACACAGACCCCCACTCACACGCACACACACTCACTCACACACACACACACACAGACCCCCACTCACACGCACACACACTCACTCACACACACACACACACACACACACACACACACACACACACACACACACAGACCCCCACTCACACGCACACACACTCACTCACACACACACACACACAGACCCCCACTCACACGCACACACACTCACTCACACACACACACACACAGACCCCCACTCACACACACACACACACACACACACACACACACACACACACACACACACACACACACACACACAGACCCCCACTCACACGCACACACACTCACTCACACACACACACACACAGACCCCCACTCACACGCACACACACTCACTCACACACACACACACACAGACCCCCACTCACACGCACACACACTCACTCACACACACACACACACAGACCCCCACTCACACGCACACACACTCACTCACACACACACACACACACACACACACACACACACACACACACACACACACACACACATACACACACACACACACACACACACACACACACACAGACACCCTCACTCACACACACACATACACACACAAACACACAGACCCTCACTCACACACACACGCACACACACACACACACACACACACACTCACTCTACAGACACACACACACAGACCCTCACTCTCTCACACACACACACACACACACACACACACACACACACACACACACACACACACACACACACACTCACTCTTACAGACACACACACACACACACACAGACTCACTCACACTCTCTTACACACACACACACTCACTCACACTCTCTTACACACACACACTCTCACAGACTCACATATATGAACATATATGAACAATAGCCTGTGTTTGACCGCAGTTCCAGGATCTGTTTAGCGCAGGGAATGATTATATTGTTGTCAATGAATGAGACGCTAAAAATCATTTTGGCTTTACGTAATAAGATTTTTAAATAGGCAAGAATAAACCCGATGTCCTCATGATTCCTGTTTTTCCCAACAACAAAACACTTGAAGGCGATGAGCTCGTGAAGGCAGCATTACACACACTTATTATAGTTGAATAAAACAATATCATACAAAAACATGTTCGTTTCTTAAAATAAAAGAAATGCTAAAAGTAAAAATACAATATATAAAATATTATTTCAGCTAGTTGCCAAGGCAGCTTTTTTCATTTTCATTTAGTTTAACTTTATGTACTAAAATAACTAAAACTGAAAACTATAATAATCATTAAAAATATATATATTTTTATTAATAATTTAATTCTTGATTTAAGAAGGTTTAGATGGAAATTGAGACAGAAATACTGAGGAAGAACACAATCTTTGCAGTTAGTCACGTGTTATGAGGTTAACTTCCTAACTATTCCTCGTGTATATTTGCAGTATAAAGGTATATAAAGTAAAAGTCTGTCTGTTTGCAGCCTGATGGTGGCATGAGTCTGGTGGCCGTTTTGCTCACTGACTTACTGGACAGGAAGTTCCTCCCACGCTTGCAACCGGCCAATCAGGAGCAAGAAGAGGAGGCTGTCAGAGAGGTGGAGGCGTGTCTTCTCAGGTGGGTCAGAGGTCAAATACACAATCACATTCTGCTCATGCTAATCTGCAGACGTCTCTGTCTGTATAACTCTGGTGCTCTTCGCTCATTTTTAGCCGAACAATTTTACGTTTTTTTTTTTTCTTCATCGCAATGGTACGAAACTTGGTAAAGGTTTTGGCACTTGCTTTGTGAACACACAAAAAAAACATGGATATGATTCGAACAGGTTTAATGGTCCTGTTAAAATAGTCCCATTTGTGCTGCTCGCGGTCGGAAATGACGCATTAGAAATGAATGGAGAGTTTCTTCTAGTGGACGCGTGTGGAACTGCAGCCGAACACACTCTCACTGACGCTCGTTTACTGAGAGATCAGCTCACATGCGGAGCACACACTTGTTTAGATTCATGGCTTTGATTTTCTCGCAGTTTTAGAGTAAAACCTGTTTTTGGAAATATAGATTTCATATAAAAATTTGAAATAGTATTTTTGTGCATTTTTCCTGACAAGAAACATAAAATTCTGTAACTTTAAGTTCACTTTTTAAAAATGTTTTCACTTCAGCAATAATCTGCCGAGTGTCTTTAAAAAGAGTCTGTGCTTTAAAGCATTCAATATATTACCACAGTTTAAGTTGGAAACTTAATTTTCAAGTCTATGCTCAAAACGTGAATAAATGGATTATAAATACAGCGTAAATATAATGTATTACCATAAAATCCCATAAAAAAAAAAAATTAAATAAATAAAACATCAAACTAAAATATAGTTCACTCCTTTCATTGAAATAAAAAAAAAAATCTGTAATTTCTGACCGTGATTTTTGATTATACATTAGCATGTTTGAGAATAGCGTGTGTTTTGTGTGTAAAGTGTTTGTTGTTATGGGTGAGTGACAGGTTCAGGACTAAACTCGTGGCGTCTTTGGCTCGGTGTCGGATCAAACACGACCTGCTGACGCTGGAGAACATCTTACCGGAGAAGATCCGGCACAGACAGGAGAGAGCGAGAGAGCTGCCGCTGTACGCCTGGATCAACACACTCCGCAGCAGGTGCACAGACTCACACACTCACTACAGACTCACACACCCACTACAGACTCACACACTCACTAAAGATTCACACACTCGCTTTCGCATAGTAACTCGCGGAGTTATAGGAACTCGCCACCAGGGCGGCTCCCCGAGAACTGATGGTTCCCTTAGGAACGTTTTCCTGGTTGCGTTCACACCGCCAGTAGAAACTCTGAAGTGACCTGAGACACGCTTGTTGTTTTGAGTTTTATTTTGACGACGCTTTGAACGATGACGCTTTGACGACGCTTTGAACGACGCCGCTTTGAACGACGACGCTTTGACGACGCTTTGAACGACGACGCTTTGAACGACGACGCTTTGAACGACGCTTTGACGACGCTTTGAACGACGGCGCTTTGAACGACGACGCTTTGAACGACGACGCTTTGAACGACGCTTTGACGACGCTTTGAACGACGGCGCTTTGAACGACGACGCTTTGAACGACGACGCTTTGAACGACGCTTTGAACGATGACGCTTTGATGACGCTTTGAACGATGACGCTTTGAACGACGACGCTTTGACTACGCTTTGAACGATGACGCTTTGAACGACGACGCTTTGATGACGCTTTGAACGACGACGCTTTGAACCATGACGCTTTGACGACGCTTTGAACGATGACGCTTTGAACGACGACGCTTTGAACGATGACGCTTTGAACGATGACGCTTTGAACGATGACGCTTTGACGACGCTTTGAACGATGACGCTTTGAACGACGACGCTTGGAACGATGACGCTTTGAACGATGACGCTTTGACGACGCTTTGAACGATGACGCTTTGAACGACGACGCTTTGAACGATGACGCTTTGAACGATGACGCTTTGATGACGCTTTGAACGATAACGCTTTGAACGATGACGCTTTGATGACGCTTTGAACGATGACGCTTTGACGACGCTTTGAACAATGACGCTTTGAACGATAATGCTTTGAACGATGACGCTTTGAACGATGACGCTTTGATGACGCTTTGAACGATAACGCTTTGAACGATGACGCTTTGACGACGCTTTGAACGATGACGCTTTGAACGACGACGCTTTGAACGATGGCGTTTTGAACAGCGGTGATTTTAAAAATGGCGGGTACTGGTGTTTCGTGTGCGTTCGGCCAATCAGTAGGGCTGGGCGATATATCGAGTTTGTACAATATATCGATATTTTTTTAAGAAACGATATGGAATGAGGCGATACCGTTTATATCGATATACAGTAGTTTGATACGAGCGCATCTGAAAAATAGCAGAGGACGCAGAGTGAGCTAATGCGGGGAGAACGCTTCATCATCGAGTTTGTCCCAAACATGATCCATGCTTTATATTAAAGGGGTCATATAATGCCATTTTTGTACAAGCTAATATGATTCTTTAGGGTCTAAATTAAAAGTTTGTAATATACTTTAATAAAAAATTCTCATTAGTATTGTAAGAAAACACTTATTTTACCTGGTCAAAAACAGCTCTGTTTTCAGCACGCCGTTTCAGTGCAAATGACTTTAAATGATAATGAGCTTTGCTCACCCCGCCTCCAGTGTTGAGCATGTTACTTAAAAAAAGTAATTAGTTATAGTTACTAGTTACTTCTCACAAATAGTAACTGAGTTAGTAACTGAGTTACATCATTATAAAAGTAACTAATTACCAGAGAAAGTAACTATTGCGTTACTTTAAAAAAATTTTTTTCAAAAAGGCCTATGTCAAATAATTTGGATGCCCCCAGTATTAAATATGTTAAATTAATGAAATGGACACTTAATAGTGTAGATTAGTGTTCAATGTTTTATAATAATAATTGATTCTATTTTAATGTTGCTGTGGGACAATGTGAGAGACGCCTATTAAATTCAATATATTATTCTAAATATTAGCATTACTATGGTAGAACAATAAAACATTATAGATGGTTTATACTTAATATCGCACAGACCCCAACTGGCCAACAAATAAGTTTAAAAATAAATTATGCTTCTTAAGAAATGTACCAAAAATAAATAAATAATAATAAAAAATATACATACTCTTTGTGCATATTAAAATGATAAAACTGTTACACAACTTCACAACTAGTAGACATAGGCTACTGTAGCCTAAGTATTTTCTTCCTAACAAAAGTAAACAGTTTAACAAGTGCTCTCTCAATATAATACTGAACAATTACCACAAAAAAAATAATAATAAAATATAATATTTTGGGGGTTTATTTTTATAACCTAGCGAACGTCATCATCAGAGGTTA